CAGGCCCTCATGGGTGAATTGCAGTGAAGGCCTTTTAGGATTTGGAGCAAGACTCTGCCACCATCTGCAGACAACTATTCTTCTTTTGAGAAATAGCTCTTGGCCTGCTACTGGGCCTTAATGGAAACTGAACACTTGACTATGGGACACCAGGTCACCATGAGTTTCCCATCATGACCTGGGTATTATCTGATCCATCAAGTCATAAGGTTGGACATGAACAACAACAGTCTATCATTAAATGGAAGTGGTACATTTGTGATAGAGCCAGGGCAGATCCAGAGGGTAAGTAAATTACATGAGGAAGTTGCCCAGACACCTATGGCTCCTACACCTGCTGTATTGCCTTCTATTTCCCAGCATGCACCTATGGCATTGTGGGGTGTACCATATAATTAGCTGTTGGAGGAAGAGAAGACTAGGGCTTGCTTATAGATGACTCTGCATGCTATGCAGGGACCATCTCATCTGGGCTGTCATTAAAGGACCGTGGTGAAGGGAAATCATCACAGCGGGCAGAACTTCAGGCACTGCCCTTGGTAGTACATTTTGCCTGGAAGAAGAAATGGCCAGATGTGCGACTGTCTACTGACTCATGGGCCGTGGCCAATGGTCTGGCCAGATGGTCAGGAACTTGGAAGGAACATGACTGGAAAATTGGTGACAAAGATATTTGGGAAAGAGGTATGTGGATAGACCTTTCCATAGGGGCAAAGGATGTAAACAAACAAACAAAAAATTGTTTCTCATGTAAATGCTCACTAAAAGGTGACATCAGCAGAAGAGGACTTTAATAATCAAGTGGATAAGATGACCTGTTCTGTAGGTAGTGGCCAACCTCCTTCTTCAGCCACCCCTGTCATTGTCCAGTGGGCCCATGAACAGAGTGGCCATGGTGGCAGGGATGGAGGTTATGCATGGGCTCAGCATCATGGACTCCCACTCACCAAGGCTGATCTGGCTGCAGCCACTGCTGAATGCCCAATAAGCCAGCAACAGAGACCAACACTGAGTCCCTGATATGACATCGTCCCCTGGGGTTATCAACCTGCAGCCTGGTGGCAAATTGATTATGTTGGACCACTTTCATCATGCTTTGTCCTCACTGGCACAGACACATATTCTCGTTAGACAATGCCTTATCCACCATCATGAAATTCCACACAGCATTGCCTCTGACAAAGGAACACATTTTAGAGCCAAAGAAATGAAGCAGTGGACTCATGCTCTTGGAATTCACTGGTCTTACCATATACCTCATCATCCACAAGCAGCTGGATTGATAGAAAGGTGGAATTCTCTTTTGAAGACACAGTGACAGCGCCAGTTGGGTGACAATAGTTTGCAGGGCTGGGGTAAGGGATTTCAAAAGGCTGTATATACTTTGAATCAGCATCCTCTGTATGGTAGTGTGTCTCCCATAGCCAGGATTCATGGGTCCAGGAATCAAGGGCTGTGAGTAGGAATGGTACCACTCACCATTACCCCTAGTGATCCACTAGCAACATTTTTGCTTCCTGTCCCCACAATCTTATTGGAGTAGAAATCCTAGTTCCATGGGGGGCGGGGGGAGGCTTGTACCAGGAAGCACAGCAATGCTAGCATTTACCTGAAAACTAAGATTTCCCCCTGGTCACTTTGGTCTCCTCATGCCTTTGAGGAAAAAAGCTAAAAAGAGAGTCACAATATCGTCATGAGTGATTGACCCAGACTATAAAGGGGAAATTGGATTTCTACTCCACAGTGGAGGGAAGGAAGAATATACATGGGGCGTAGGAGATCCCTTAGGGTGACACTGCGTTGTCATGCCCTGTTATTAAAGTCAATGGGAAACTATAGCAACCTAATACAGGCACAATGACAAATGGTCCAGAGCCTCCAGGAATGAAGGTATGGGTCACTCCACCAGGGAAAGAACCAAAGAGGTGCTTACTGAAGACCAAGACAATACAGAATGAGTAGTGGAAGAAGGTAGTTCTAAATACCAGCTATGAACCTGTGATCAGCTACAGAAAAAAGGATTATAATTGTACTATTTCACCCCTATATGATTCTGTTATAATATAACATTGATATATAATATCAGTTCTTAAGGATTATTAAACTTGTGTCAATGTTGAAGTTATGATATGATTAAGCATAAGCACCAAGCAAAGAGAAAACTTACCTTCTGTTTTGGTAAGGGAATTAGTGTGTTTCTGTTTGTACACAGGATAGTTATAATATGTTACATGAAATTTTATGCAGATGTTTGTATCTGAAGACAGGTTTAAAGAAATTTGTCTAGTTGCCAAGTTGACAAGGGATGGATTGTAGTGGTTGATCAAAATTTGCTCAGCAAGGGGGCCGGGGAGATGGCTCAGTAGGATAAGTGCTTGACTGGCAAACACAAGGATCTGAGTTCAATCCCCGGTTCCGCCAAAAACAAACAAAAAAAAATAATAATTTGCTCAGCAATTCCACACCCTAGGGTGTGGGGGTCCCACCCTACAGTGACTTATTACTTAAAGGGTATAAAAGGGAATTGAGGAAGGATGGAGTGGTCCATTTTCATCTCTGGGCTTCAAAATCAACTTGGACATCGATTACTGGCTTCTGGTGCAGATTTTCTGGCTTCTGCCTTGGATGCTTCAGCCTTCTGGTGCAGATTCATCAGCTTTCCATTGCAGACCCATCGGCTTCCAGATATGGACTTGCACGGAACGCTGCAGTGAGCTCCAGACCTTGGACTCAATCCTTCAATCTCTAAGGTGCAGACGCTCTCTGCACGCTTCCTCATCTGACTCTGTGGCTGAGTGTCATAAGCCAACCTTGTAATTTCTTATACATTTGTGCATCTTGTGTTATATCTGCTTTTCTGGTAAAATCTTGATTGATACACCTAGGATAGCAGTTTTCAGGCTTTTCCACTAAAGTACGTCAGCCAGTCTAGGATAGTGGTGGTGAAACTGTGGCACATGTGTCTCAACAGGCGCACAAGCCCTCTGTGTTAACATGCAAGCCAGGTCACTCCAGCATCACCCGGCAGCCAAGCATCAGATAGCGGCACACGTGGGGGTCATGCGCATGCTTAGAAAGGAGTAGGGAGTGATGTTAAGAGCCATGACTCGCCCAAGCTTTCCCCTGGCCTATTAGCATTCAGATTTAATTGCAATGTTGGCACCTTGAAATAAATGAGTGTGATCACACCTGTATTCCTAGGTTTGATCCCCAGCATTGTCGCCGTGCTACTCTGTTGGCCACCAAAAGTGAGCATGGTGACACATGTTAGTAATCCCTGCGGTGGGGAGGCTGAGACAGGAGGAGCACTACGAGTCCTAGCTGTGTAGTGAGACCTTGTACTAAATAAATAAATAAATAAATAAATAAATAAATAAATGATTGATTTTTTTTTAAAGTGGTAAAAAGATTTTTGGTTCTAAGCCAGTTATTGTGTTACATGCCTATAAAATTTTAATAGGGAGTTGCAGTTTAGGCCCTTGCTCTAAAAGGTTTGCCAGCACTGGTTTAGGAGACTAGTGGTAGCTGACTGCTCTGGAATATTTCTCAAAGAGTGTTAATGCCAGGCTGGGGAAATAGCTCGGCGGTCTAAGTGCATGCTTGGCAACTGCAAAGACGTGGGTTTGATCCCTACTACTGCATGCTGTGCTGGCCACCAAAACCTGGTGTGGTGGCACACACCTGTAATCCCAGTACTGGGGAGGCTGAGACAGGAGGGTCACTATGTGTGAGTCTGAGCTGTGTAGTGAGACTCTGTACCAGACAAACAATTAATTAATTAAAAAACAGTGTTAATGCCAACTTAAAACCTTCTGGCTTCATTATGATTTGAAAAATCATGGATTAAAAAATTATGGCTAATCTGTGTTCTTATCCACAATATTTGTGTGTGAGTGTATATATAAAAGCTCTTTCTATCCTTCCCTATCCTGTGCTTAATGCTTGAAACATAGTGAATAAAAAGTGGAAAACACAGGGCTGGGGAGATAGCTCAGCAATCTAAGTGCCTGCCTGGCAAGCATAAGGGCCTGGGTTTGATCCCCAGCATCATAGCCATGCTGCTGTGCTGGCCACCAAAACTGAGCGTGGTGGCACATGTTTGTAATCCCTGCATTGGGGAGACTGAGACGGGAGGATCACTGTGAGTCTTAGCTGTGTAGTGAAACCTTGTACCAAATAAATGAATGAATGATTAAATTCTTTTTTAATTTATTTTATCTATTTATTTTTTGGCGGAACTGGGGATTGAACTCAGGCCCTTGTACTTGCCAGGGAAGTGCTTATTCCACTGAGCCATCTCCCCGGCCCCTAAATTCTTTTTTTAAAGTGGGGTTGGGGAGATAGCTCAGTAGAATAAGCGCTTGCCTGGCAAGCATAAGGGCCTGAGTTCAATCCCCGGTTCTGCCAAAATAAAAAATTAAAAAAAAAAAAAGTGGTAAAAAGATTTCTGGTTCTAGGCCAGTTATTATGTAACATGCCTATAATCCCAGCACTCAGGAGGTTGAGGCAGAACAATTGCTGTGAGTTATAGGCCAGTGTGAAGTACATAGTGAGACTCTGTGTCCAAAACGAAACAAAGATTTCTGGTTCTGATGGGACCCACTACTCAAAACACAGAGTTGTAGACTACCTATGTGAAGACTGAATAAGATAGTAGATGAACTCACTTGCAAAGCAGAATGTACTGTGTAAATGTGAGCTGTTTGTGATTTTAGTGTTCTGTACAGCTGTAATCCTCCTGTAGTTGAGTCTTTTGCTTAGGCGAAATTTTAATAGGGAGCAATAGCAGCATGTGGCTCCTCAATTTAGACTTTCTCTGTTGTGATTAGGATCAGGTACCAGGGACTGGGGAGATAGCTCAGTAGAATAAGCGCTTGCCCAGCAAGCGCAAGGGCCTGAGTTCAATCCCTGGTTCCACCAAAAAAAAAAAAAAAAAAAAAAAAAAGAAAAAGAAAAAAGATCAGGTACCGTAAAGTTAACAAGGTATGCTCTAATTGCAGGCGGGAGCACTGGCAGCTGCTGGGCAATTTGAAGACCACTGTGGAGGGGTTGGTGTCAACCAACAGCCCCAACGTCTGGTCCAAGTATGGTGGCCTGGAGCGGCTTTGCAGGGACATGCAGCGCATTCTCTACCACGGGCTCATCCATGACCAGGTATGCAGAACTCTTCCCTTTGCCCCATTGAAAGAATCATTTGTTGGGAAGAAACTGTCATGTTCATTCAGTAAGCAGAGAAAAGACAATGCCTACCAGTCTCTGAGCTCTTGGGGAACCGCACTGAGACTTAACACAAAACTTATTTTGTTTGTTTGAGGCAAGTTCTTGCTATATAGTTCAGGCTGGTTTTGAACTTAAGGTGATCCTCCTGCCCTAGGATCCCAAGCACTGAGGTTATAGGTGTGAAATACCATGGCTGGCCCATCTTTTTATTTTGAATCCGGAACATTTCACTTAGTGCCTGATGTACTTTAGATGTTAATAAGATTAGAGGTGTATGACCTATGGCTGGGTGGCTGGGTAGAGCAGCAAATTGGCAACAAGAAGTTAGCTCAGTTTATTCCTTGGCCTAACAAATGTCTGCAAACTTAATGGCTTTGAACAACACCAAGACATGATAGTTCCCAAGTCAGAATTCCATAATAAGTTTTGCTGGGAGCTGGGAGATAGCTCAGTAGAATAAGCACTTGCCTGGCAAGTGCAAGGGCCTGAGTTCAATCCACGGTTCTGCAAAGAAAAGAAAAAGAAACAAAGGTTTTTGGGGCCGAGGAGATAGCTCAGTAGAATAAGCACTTCCCTGGCAAACACAAGGGCCTGAGTTCAATCCCCAGTTCCACAAAAAAAAAAAAAAGTTTTGCTAGGCTGAAAGCAAGATGTCTGCAAGGCTGTGCCCCTGGAGGCCCTAGAAGATTCTCTTTTGTCTTGCCTTTCAGTGTCTAGAGCTGTCTTGTTGCTGTCTGTGGCTCTCAGCCCCTTCTGCCATCTTCCAAACCAGGCACTTTACATCTTTAAACCTTCCTCTGCTTCTGTGTCACCTTCCCTCCTGGATCCATCCCTCTAGAAGGACCCTGGTACTTATATTGGCCCCATCAGGATAATCACCCTGATCAAGATCCTTAACTTACTCATATTTGCAGAGTCCCTTTGGCCATAGACTGTACATAAAAGGTTATATTCATACATTCTAGGAATTAGGTTGTGGACATCTAGGACCATTTTTTAGCCAAATATAGTCAAGATTTTTTTTCCTAAATATGATTTGGTTTAAAAAAGATACACACACACACACACACGCGCGCACACACACACACGCACACACACACACACACACACACACAGATTAATAGCACAGGTATGTTCTCCCAGCTACTTGGGAGGCTGAGCAGCAAGGATTCCAATTCTCAGCCCACATGGGCAATTTAAGAAGATTCCATCTCAAAAATAAATACTTTAAACAGTGTTAGGGGTGTAGCTCTGTGGCAGAGTACTCACAAGGCCCTGGGTTCCATCCTTAGTACCACACAAATTATTTGAGAAAATCTTTAACAATTATTCTTTAAAAGGGTGACTATGGGTGTATGTCGCTTTGCTGCTGAGAGCCTGTGTTGATGCAGCGAAGGTTCTGCCCTTTTCCTGCCCACAGATTTCGCGCCCAGTGGCTCACACATACTTTCCCTTGCAGCTCTGCTGCCGGCAGGCTGATTACTGGCAGTTCGTGAAGGACATCCGCTGGCTCAGCCCCCACCGCGCCCTGCATGTGGAGAAGGTGAGCAGGATGAGCGCGAAGCACAGGGATGAGTGGGGTCTTTACTGCTTGAGGTTCTGTTGGGTGGGATGTGGAAGAAAGGAGGGAAGAAGGGAAGGGAAGGAAGGAAGGGAAGGAAAGGGAAGGAAGGAAAAAGGGAGGGAGGGAGGGGGGAAGGAAGGGAAAGGCTGACCTGGAGAGAGGGCTTATTAGCTGACCCATTATTACGAATCCTGTGACACCACTGTTCAGGTCTCTTTCTCTTTGGGGAAAGATCTGTGTATAGGGCACCCAAATAAAGTGAAGTCCGGGACCACGGGAAAAGATTCCTACAGCAGTAGGGGAGGTGGAACTGCCACTGGGAACTGGTTGGGAAGAGGCTCCCACAAGAAAGGAGTACGAGGCCTTCAGGAGGCCAGGATCAGGCAAAGCCACTTGTGTCTCTGACAGCTTTGACAGACATCAAAGCTCCCCACCATCCTGTTCCTCACTCAGGTTGAGAACTCTGGTTTCTAGCCAGGAAAATGAGCTCAAGAAAGTTAGGTGACTTAGCTGAAGCTACACAGCTGGTTCCAGAACAATTATTGCCAATTTTATGTTGAGAGATATTAAATTAATCCAATTAATCTATTACTCCTCTTAATTCTTGTGTATGTGTGTGTGGTACCAGGGATTGAACTCAGGACCTTGTGCTTGCCAGGGAAGTGCTTATTCCACAGAGCTTTTACCCGGCCCTGTTTGTTTGTTTTTTTGAGACAGGGTCTCACTACATATTTCAGGCTGGCCTTGAACATACCATGTAGCCCAGGCTGGCCTTGAATTCTCTGCAGCCTCCCAAGTGCTGGGATTCCAGGCATGTACCACCACCCTCTTCATTTCTGGTCCCTATATGGCTAGTCTTGTTTCACATATACCCCCCACTGCTAGATTCATCACTCAAGTAACCTCAGGAAAGTAACTTGTTTCTCCAGCATTCCAGAGGCTAAAGCAGGAGGATCCCTGTGAGCTCAAGGCCAGCTTGGGCTACATAGCAAGACCCTGCCTCAAAAAACAAAAGATAACAAAAAACAAAACAACACTCCCCACAGTGGAACCCATTATTTTCTATATCCTTATCATTTATGTTCTTCCCAGTGGCCCTCCCTCCAACTTCTTTTCTCTAATACATTGCTATAGTCATTTCCTCTTTGAAGCTGCCTGAAATCACCCTTCATAGCATTTCGTTGGACTAATCCTGGTCTCTGAGACCTGGCTCTCGGAACACTCAGGAGGGAGAGGTTCCAACAGAGAATGTGTGGCTAGAATCAAACGGTGGTGCTCGGATGACTTGGAGGGGGAGTCCTTGGCACATTTTTCCTAGATGCTTCTCCCCAGGTTTTTGTCGAATTCCCTCTAGGAGGCTCCTGAATAGAGGAATCTGTGAACAAAGCCAAGAAGCCAAGTTCATCCCTCCTCTGAGTATCTCAGAACAGGTGCATTTTTTGGAGCTAGGTCATGAAGAGCCAGATGTAGCAGTTTGTCTTTCCTGGAGTGCTTGTCAGTGAATTGCTTAACTGTCCACTGTGAAGCTGTTAGTCTCTTCCTTCCTTCATTCTCCAACTTCACCCTCCCCATTTTTAGAGACTAGGTCCAGCTAGGTAGCCCAGTTGGGCCTCTCACTTAGCAGTTCTTTTGCTGGGAGCCCACATGGGTGCCACCATGCCCAGCAGGACAGTACTCTGCTGCCTCCCCTCCCTGTCCTATGGGCTCATGGGTCACTGGGCTTCCACCTCTGTTCTCACTGTGCCTCTTTGCATCCCAGTTCATCAGCCTGCACGAAAATAGCCAGAGTGCTGCTGCTGGTGTGAGCGAGCACGCGGTCGCAGAGCTGTGGCTGCAGCACAGCTTGCAGTGCCACTGCCTCTCAGCCCAGCTGCGGCCCCTGCTGGGGGACAGGCAGTACATCCGGAAATTCTACACAGGTGGGTCTTTCTCCCCTGCTGCATCTACTTCCTGCTTCTGTTCCACAGCACTCCCCTGTACTGATGCTTCCAAGCCCAGGCTCCTGTTTGTGTTTGTCACTCAACACCATCGAGATGCTGCTCAGTCCCATCCTCAGGCCTCCTCTCCTTCCTTGAAAAATACACTCAGACTCTGCAGCGCTCCCCTGCCTGCATGCGCTCAGAGCAGCCTGGACACCGATCACCCCAGGTGTCAAAAGAAGAGAGCAGAATTAGGTGCTGGGGCCACAGTCACCGAGTTAGCACGCCACTCAGAGCCTCTTCCCTTGGCCTCGGTGCTCCACTGTGTGCCTTCAGCATCTCTAAGCTTGTCCCCAGCCCCCTAGGCTTGGTGTCTGTGCTTCTTTTTACCTCCTCTCTCCTTGCCTTTTCCCCTGGGCTCCTTTCCCTCGAGGCCATACCAGAGGCCCTCACCATGGCCACTTCTCTGTCCCCAGAGAGCGCCTTCCTCCTCAGCAATGCACATGTGACAGCAATGCTGCAGTGCCTAGAAGCCGTGGAGCAGAACAACCCCCGCTTGCTCGCCCAGATCGACGCATCCATGGTGAGAGGCAGGAGTTGGCCGGTCTGTGTGGGCTCCAGAGCCACACTCAATGTGACTCTCAGTAACGAATGACTAAGTTCTTGTTTCTCAAGGCAGATGTGTGCTGAGAGGCTTTGAAAAATGCTTGGTGAAATGAGGAGGCACCATTGTGTACTTACTGGAGTGCAAAGTCTAAGCCTCGGTCTGTTTGCCGGGGGGGGGGGGGGTTAAACCTTTGGGACCCTTGGTTTGAATAAGCACCTTCCTTTAAGGTCAGGCTTGACAGAGAGCTGGCCAGGAGAAATGTTTTGGCCATGTGTGGTAGTCCACGCCTGTAATCCCAGCACTTAGGAGCTGAGGCAGGAGGATCCCCAAAATTTAAGGCCAGCCTAGACTACATAGCAAGACCCTGACTCAGAGAGAGACAGACAGACAGACAGACAGACAGACAGACAGAGACAGAGGCAGAGACAGAGACAGACAGAGACGGAGAGACCTGAATCTGGAGCAGACTTTACAGGGGTTAGATCTTATATGGCTTAGTGACACATGGTATTATTCTTTCCTATAGTTAATACCCCTCATTGCCAATACTTAGCTAGAGCAGAGGCATAGTTCTTATTCCTTTCAGGGCAGAAAATGCTCATCTCTCCTGGCAGTTTAATTAGAAATTTTTTTATCTTTTATTTATTTGGTAGAGGATCTCATTACACAGCTCAGACTTGTAGTGATCTTCCTATCTCAGCCTCCTCTCAATGCTGAGATTACAGGTGTGACCACCATGCCTGATTTTGGTGGCTGGCACAGCACACCTGGGGTTCCAGGGCAGGCATGGCATGTGGTACCAGGGATTGAGCCCGGGTCCTTGTGCTTGCCAGGCAGGTGCCTAGACTGCTGAGCTGTCTCTCCAACACCCCAGCAGTTTAATTTAAAGCGACCAGAGAGTTTAAAGTGACCAGAGAGCTTTTCAGTGACCAGGGATTGGTCAGACCCTGCGCTGTCCGACTTCTGACTCTGTGCGGAGGCTTAAGTGTTTCTGATGCGGTCTCCACTCTGCCCCCAGGAGCCTATTGCAGACCCAGAGGTGCCCAGGACTCACTTTCCTAGTTGTAGCCCAACAGAGGCTGGTATGCTGTGTCCAGGCTGCAGCTGTTGTCCACACTGCTGCAAGGGCCAGCTTGGTCAGCACTCCTAAAGAGCTGACCCCCTCCCCAGACCTCTGTCCTTGAGGCCCACATGTTTTATTCTCTTTTAGTTTGCCAGAAAGCACGAGAGCCCACTGCTGGTGACGAAAAGCCAGAGCCTGACTGCTCTGCCCAGTTCCACGCATGCCTCGCTGACCAGCTGTGCTCAGCATTCCTACTTCGGGGCCTCCTCCGGCCTGCACCAGTCCATGCCCAGCTACAGCTCAGGTACAGGGATGCAGGGGTGGCTGCTACATGATCTCCAGGCCTGGGAAGGAAGGGACGCTGGGCGCTCATGGCTGGTGCTCACTGTCAAACTTCAGATCACAACAACAGGCCCCTTAAAAAGGTATAGGGAAGCCAAGCTAAGATAGGTAATTCAGGAGAATCATTAAAGTAGCAGGGAAAGGTGTTTTTAGATTGACTTGGTTTGCTATGCCACATTGCAAAAAAGGCATTGAAATAGTAGCTAACTTATATTGAGTGCTTTCAACATGCTGGATTCTGTTCTGATCAATTCAGATACCATCAAGCCAGACATGGTGGTACATGCCTATAATCCCACAAGTTTGGATTGCCACAAGCTTGAGGCCAGCCTGAACTAAACAGTGAGACCTTGTCTCAAAGGAAAAAAAAGGGGGCTGGGAAGATAGCTCAGTAGAATAAGCACTTGCTTGGCTAGCGCAAGGTCCTGTGTTCAATCCCCGGTACCGCAAAAAAAAAAAAAAAAAAAAAAAAAGATAAGGAGATAGATAGATCGATATCTATCTATATCTGTCTATCTCTTATTTAATCCTGAAAACAGTCCTGTAGGGTGTTATTATTGCTTTTTGTACAGATGAGGAATACATGCCAATAGCTACTAAAGGCACTCTCTCAAGAGCCTGTGCTTTTGACTTAGCTCCTTCTAAGTAACTTCCAGTGATTTAGCTTTTCTGAGGTGACATTCTGTGTCCTGAGGAGTTGGTCCTTGACAGTGGAGAAGCCTTTCTTTCTTTCTTTTTTTTTTTTTAAATGTGTTTAGTACAGGGTATCACCACACAGCTCGGACTTGTAGTGATCCTTGGGTTTTCAGCCTCCCCAGCACTGGGGTTACAGGTGTGTGCCACCACATCCGGTCTCGGTGGCTGGCTTAGCACACCTGGGAGCAGGGCTGGCACAGTCTGTTGTGCTGGGGATCAAACCCTGGACCCTGTGTATGCCTACACAGGTACTTAGTCTACTGAACTATCTCACCGGCTCTGGAGAAGCCTTCTATAAACCACAGGGCACCTTCTCACCCTTTTTCCTCCTTTCCCTTCTTCCTATCCTAGAGAGAAGAACCACTTCCTTTGCATTCTCTGGCCCTCCCCAGAGACCCCAGGAAGGCCAAGGACATCTGTCCCCAGCAGAGGAGCAAACTGCCCAGGACCCCAAGCTCTCAGACTCTGCACCAGCTTCTGAGTCCCTGTCAACCCCACAAGAGATGAGCTCTGGGGCCCCCACCAGCCCGCTGGAGGCATCCTGGGCCGGCAGCCAGAGTGACTCCCCAAGTGATGGCAGTGAGGGACCCGAGTACCTGGCCATCGGCAGTCTGGACCCCCGAGGCCGGCCCAGCAGCCGTCAGAGCTCCAGCAGCAATGCCGGGAGCAGCAGCTCGAACCTGTTCTCCTCTGGAAGCTCCCAGAAGCCAGGTTCTGCCGCATCTTCTTTAGGGGACCAAGAGGGCGGCAGGCAGAGCCAGCTGTCCAGTGTCCTCCGCAGGTCCAGCTTCTCAGAAGGGCAGATACTCCCTGTCACGGGTGGGACGAAGAAGAGCCACATCCGCTCCCACTCGGACACCAACATCGCCACCAGAGGCACCCCAGGTCAGGAAGGGGCCCCATCCTTGACGGGGAGGAGGGTTTGTCCTTGAAGCCTTGCAGATGGCCGGGGAGAATTTGTGTTTCCAAGGACAGACATTCTGCTTAATAACAAGTGGGAGAGGTTCATGATGGGATACTCAGACGTGAGCATCAAGAAATGCAGTGCGTGTCTGTTTGTCCCTTTACATAGTGCTGAGTACCAAGTGCTTCTCTGGATTCCTTCAGCAGTTCCTTAGCCTCAGAGGACAGCAGGACTCACCACAGCTCAAGTTGTCACTGTCTCTCTCCAGCTGAGGGAAAGTGTTAAAGAGTTTTGAAAATAATCCTGTTAAATTCCTCCCCTTCCTGTGATTCTTGAGAGGTTTGGTCATGATACAACACCAGTACCCAGTGCTATTAGTGCTCCCTGATTAAAATTGGGGAGATTGTGAATGTGGGGTGACAGGAGCCAGTAAGCAAGCAGGAGGGGTCAGCAGCTGCATCACCACTCAGGCTGAGGCAGTCATGCTTGGAGGCCCCAGACCTGGGACTGATGTCAGAAACGCAAGCTGATGGCAGGGGCGACCTGGAGTAGCTGGGAGTCTCACTGCTTTGGCCACGTCCCCACCGCCATCATTCCTGGGTTGTTGGTATCCAGCAGGCTTTGGCTGGGTTTCATTTGTAGCAGCCTCTGAAACAGGAAGTGCAGAACCATCCTGGATCAAGAATGCCCCAGAAATGATTTTTTTTTTTTTTTTTTTTTTGGTGGAACCAGGGATTGAACTCAGTCCCTTGTGCTTGCCAGGGAAAGAAATGAAATATTGAAATAAAATATAAAAAATTCAATAAGACAAAAACAAAGAATTTCTTCTAGGAACAGAGCTGCTATTGCTGTCCTGTTCTAGAAAGATGAGAACTAAGGACCTCATTTGAAATCTTAGAATGATAAGTTTATGTTCATGTTTTTCTTCTAGAATTTGATCTGACTTAGGGAATCCTCAGGAGAAAACCCCCAGCCAAAGCCTGTCTTCCTGTGAGCTTTCAAGGACGCTTGGGTCAGACCTTCCCAGCATACTGACTGCAGGCCTGGTTCTCCTGCACTCCTGGTCCAGCCTCTGAGCATGGGAAAATTCCCCATCCCATCCCTGAATCCACATGGATTCCAGACAACTCAGTAACCTGCATGGGAAACAGAGCCAAGGAAAACTGTCCAGAAGGGTCTGAGGAAGTAGGGTCCTGCATAGTAGCTTTCTGTGTTGAATCCTCTCTCCTTGCACACTGGGGCTTCCTCTTGCAGTTTGTCCCCCTCTGCCTGGTAAAAAGACATTCTTCCCTTTGTCTCCCTCTAACCGTGTCTGCTCTGTCTGGACTCTCCTCTGCACCTGTCTTCCCGCAGGAGGCCCCAGGAATATCACCATTATAGTGGAAGATCCCATTGCAGGTTTGGGAGCCAGCCCTCCACCCCTTTTCCTTTGTGACCACCTTGCTCAGTTCAGGAACCTCCTTTTCCAGTCTGGTGTCAAATCAAGCCTGCCATTCTGGTCCTGCTGTGGTGCCTGAGCCTGTCTAAAATAACCAATATTTCATATAAGTATCTGCCCCCAGCCTCCAAGGGCCTCCTTCAGTTCTCCCAGTGTCTTCTGGGTGACAGAGCAGGACTTGAGAATTCAGTTTCGCCTGCTGTTGTCTAAGGACACTTGATACCTCAGGGGCAGACTGTTTCTTATAACGGAACACTTACTATGGATGATGATTTACCATTCCTTGACTTCACACCAGAATGTGTTTCATGCCCTCTCCGTGGTCTTGGATGTACCTGCATGTTTTTTGCCTGTCCAGAGTTCCTAGTTCTTTTCTTCACTTGTCTTCATCCCTGTGTGATCCCTTTACATCCCACCATGGCCATTGCACACTTTCACAGTGACTTCCGTCTGTTTGCTTTTGTTTCTGTGGAGACGTGTGTTTGTTCTGGGCACTGTGATTCGTGGAGATGGTAACCCTGCAGGTCTTCGAGGCAGTGGCAAGGACAGACCAGAAACCAGGGTCTCCTGGTAATGGGGAAACCCTGGGTGCCTTATTGGAAAAGAGAAACCAAGTCTGCAGAAATATCCTTTTATCAGAACATGTTTGTTCTCAAGGAGATGAGCTATGATAAGAAGGCAGATCATCCCTGAGACCAGGAAATGGTAAGGAGCAGTTGAATAGGATCAACAGAGTTAGAGAATTCAGATGGCAAAGGCTGAGTGGCCCTGTGTGGTAAGGAATTAAGGTTGTGGTGTTGGAATTTGTGTTGTGATCCAGGTTTGACTGGGAATCTTTGTGTGTGTGTGTGTGTGTGTGTGGTACTGGGGATTGAACTCAGGACTTTACACTTGCCACTTGCCCAGCAGGCACTTATTCTATTGAGCTATCTCCCCATTCCCTTGACTGGGAATCTTACATATTTGATATAGGATCTCACTATGCAGGTGGGACTCATAGTAATCCTCCTGTTTCAGCCTCCCCAGTGCTGGGATTACAGGGATGCGCCACCATGCCTGGTCTTGGTGTCTGGCATGGTGCTTCCGAGGCAGGGTTGGCACAGCATGCAGTACCAAGGATCAAACGCAGGTATTTGCACTTTGCCTAGACAGGTACTTAGACCTCTGAGTTATCTCTGGGGCCCTTGACTGGAAATCTTAAAAGTTCTTTTGAGAGCAGTGTCTTACCAAGGCATCACATTGATGGCTGACTCGTGCTCAGTTCAGCAGAGGGGAGCAGAGCCCACTGGCAGGGCCAGTGGCAGCCTTGGAGGGCCCAGGAAGACACGAGCTGTCTCTTACCACATAGTAGCTGTTCTTGGAAGAGCAGCAGCTGACAAGAAATGGTTGGATGTGACTCCGTGGCCCGTTTTAATTTCTCCAGCACCTCCCTGCTTTCCACCTGCTCTTCCTTGGCACTGGAAATTGTGTTTTCTTTTGAAAAATACCACCTTGTCCTGGGCTGCAAGCCCTGCCTGCTGCTGTTTCTCCATCCCTGGCCCTCACTAGTCTGCTTCTCAGGACTCCTGCTTTGACCGCTGTCCCTTGAACCCTGTCCCTTCCTTCCCGGTGACGCATGCTTTGAGTTCAAGGCCACCATCCCGGGCTTCTCCAGCATTGTCTTGAGACTGCTTCTAAAGACCTTACTAGGTTTTGTTTTGATTTCTTAAAGAGCCTAAACCTACTGGTACTGTTTTTTAGGGTGTTTTTGTTTGTTTTATGATATTGTTTTAAAACCAAATATCAGGGTGTCATAAAATTTCACAATGTGCTCCTTCATGTCTTACTACCTCAACACTGTTTTCAAAATTAGTTTATCAAGCTGGAGCCTGTGATGCACACCTGTAATCAGGAGGCAGCATAGCAAATCCCTATCAGGGAATAAAAAAACAACCCAATAAATAAATTAATTAACTAACTAACTAAATTTCTCAGGATGTTAGAAACCGCTGATGCTCCTTAGAAGCTTTGGTTACATTTTGAAGCTTATCCCGGCTCCATGCAGGGCAGTGTGCTGACTCAGACTCCCTGTCATTGCGCTCAAGCCCCGGGCCTGTGTGGGAAAGCACACTCACCTGCCATTTCTTGTGGCCATCTCTGACTTAGGGTCCCACCCTCTCAGGTTGTGGACGTCATCACAGTACATGTATGTGTTGGTCCAGACAGAGTAGGCAAGGGAGATCTTAAAAAGAGTCCTTCAAGGATCAAGATTTAATTATCAGGGCTACAGAGATAGCTCAGTGGTCTAAGTGCCTGCCTAAGCAAGCACAAGGACCCAAGTTCAATCCCCAATGCCATGTGTCAGTGCTGGCCCCACCCCTAGAATGCTGAGCCGGCTACCAAGACTTGGCGTGGTAGCACATGCCTGTAATCCCAGTGCTAGGGAGGCTGAAACAGGAAGATCACTACAAGTCCAAGCTGCATAGTGAGACCCTGTACCAAGTACATAAAATTTTAAAAAAAGATGTAATTACCAGAAGACAGGTTCTATGTGGATGTCATACACAGGAGGAAGCCATTTGTGTCCTTTCCTAACCAGGTTATTATTATTATTATTTTATTTATTTTTATTGTTAGACAATGACTTATGTAGTTCAGGCCAGCCTTGAACTCATAGGTAGCGCCCATGGCTACTCTTGCCTCAGCCTCCTGCACACTGGGCTTATAGGTATGGGCCACCGCACCCTGCTGGTAGTACTTTTTGAACTTTCTTTTCATTCATTGTTTTTAAAACTTTATTTATTTTTTACTTATGTATTTATTTATCTTGTGGAGCAGTGGGAAAAATACATAGTCTATACATTTAGATGGTACAAAGATTTTGCCTGGGCTGTCTGTTTATTTAGCCTGTTGCTCTGGCACTGAGAGTTGCAGCTGTCCAGTTAGAAGGTAGATGCTTCCTCATTGCCTGGCAAGACCCGAGAGCATCTTAATGGCACCACCTTCAGACTTCTGGAAGAAGCATGGCTGCTACAGAGCTGGGTCTAGGAACAGAATTTTTTACATCCCTGCTTTGTTGTCCTGCAGAGGGTGACCAGTACCCAGGCTCAGGAGAGGGCATGTTTCGGAGACCGTCGGAGGGACAGTCCCTCATCAGCTACCTCTCCGAGCAGGACTTTGGCAGCTGTGCGGATCTGGAAAAGGTGAGAAATCTTGTTTTCTGACCCTGGACTGTGGTGCCAGCTGTCCCAGTGAGGTTTCAAGGACATAGCAGCGACACGGGTGTAGACAGCATAAAGATGAGCTCAGTTTTGGGGACACTTCAGGGAGCATGTGCTCTTCACTGGGTCCTCATTATTAGCTATTTAACTGCGCACAGTGGCAGATACCTATAATCCTAGCTACTTGTAGGCTGAGCAGTAAAATCACACGTTCGGTCCATTTAATGAAGCCTGATCTTTTTTTTTTTTTTTGGTGGAACTGGAGATTGAACTCAGGCCCTTGTGCTTGCCAGGCAAGTATTTACTCCACTGAGCCATCTCCCTGGCCCCATGAAGCTCTATCTTAAGGGTTAAAAAAAAAAAAATTAAAGGGAAAGAGGACATGGTTCAGTGCTAGGATGCTTCCCTAGCACAGTGAGGCTCTGGATTCCATCTCTAATACTACAGACAAAACAACATAACACAAAACACCATGAAAGTTCGGTGTGGCACACAGAGGGCAAGAGGATCCATGAGTTCTAGGCCAGCCTGAACTACGTAAGAAAGTTCAAGGCCAGCCTGCACCTCTATATAGGGAGTCCTTGTCTCCAAAAAACCAAACCAAAACAAAAACTCACCAACAACCAAATCACCATGAAAATGTTAGTAATTATATCTTAGAAGCTGTGCTGGTCTGAGAAATACAGAATTTTAGCTGCATAATTACTCTCTTTGATTCTGGAAACTTACTGTTCCAAAATCAACCTATGTATTTTATTGTAAGGCTCATACATGTAATAATATCTGTGCAGCATTTTATGGCCTGTGAAGCCCTCTTGCTTTGAGACATTATAGTTACCTTTGTGCACAGGTACGTAACTTTGGAAAAGAACCTGGTTGAAATTCCTGGGTGTTCTTCCCTTTTTTCTTTACTAGACAAAGATTATCTATCTATCTATCTATCTATCTATCTATCTATCTATCTATCTATGTTTGTTTCCAAGTTTAAGCTTAATTAGCTGCAAAGAAGAAATTATATGTAAGTAAAAAGTGAGATGAGGGGTCAGATAGCTCAGTGGCTTAAGTGCCTGCCTGGCAAGCACAACGTTCTGAGTTCAATCCCTGGTACCAAAACCCAAAAAAAGCCAAAAAAAAAAGGGGCCGGGGAGATGCCTCAGTAGAACAAGCGCTTGCCTGGCAAGCACAAGGGCCTGAGTTCAATCCCCGGTTCCACAAAAAAAAAAAAAAAAAAAAAAAAAAAAAAAAAAAAAAAAAATACTGAGATGAGCAGCTGGGGCTGGTGGTACAAAACTGCAATACCAGCACTCCGGAGGATGAGGCAGGAAAATCTCCAGAAGTATGAGGTCAGCTCAGGGTACATGAGGAGGGAGTTCAGGGCAAGCCAGAACTACATAGTGAGATCTATCTCAAAAAAACAAACAAGAAATACTGTAAAGAGCTGCAGTGTTGAAGGGGCTTGGATTTAAAAAGTATTACAGATCTACATGTTATTGGATCTATAAACAAAATAACTTTTAGAAACAGTCATAAGACCCAAGAAACAGCTCCTGGTAACTTCAAGCTTTATCCTTTTTTTGCAGTTGTTTTGAGACAGGGTCTCCCTATGCAGTTCAGGCAAGCTTTGAATTCACTGTGTAACTCAGGCTGGCCTGCTAACTCCAAGCGAGTCTTTGCTACCCTCCTCCCCAGGAGAATGCCCACTTCAGCATCTCTGAGTCCTTGATTGCCGCCATCGAGCTGATGAAGTGCAACATGATGAACCAGTGCTTGGAGGAGGAGGTGGAAGAAGAGGACAGTGATCGAGAGATCCAGGAATTGAAGCAGAAGATCCGCCTCCGGCGCCAGCAGATCCGCACCAAGAACCTGCATCCCGAATACCAGGAGTTGGAGCATGGGAGTGAGTGGGGCTGGGGCTCCTCCGTCCTGCTCCTCATGGTTTGTGGGTTTTCGAGAGGACCTTGTTATTCATTTCAGGCTGTCCTGGAACTTAGTATGCAGCCCATGTTGGCCTCAGACTCACCATCCTCCTGCCTCAGCTTCCCGAGGACTGTGATGTGTGCCATCATGTCTGACTTCTGGTTGTTCTTTAGACTATTATACCCAAGCCAAGGGTTCCTTTGCTCTCAGGAAGATATCACTATGCTATTGTTTATTTATTTAACCAGACTAAGAATTGTCAGGATGGGACTGGGGAGATAGCTCAGTAGAATAAGCGCCTGCCTTGTAAGTGCAAGGTCCTGAGTTCAATCCCCAATACTAAAAAAAAAAAAAAAAAAAAAAATTGTCACCCTAGAATTCATCCATGTCTTACATTAGAAATAGCTTCCTTCTGAAATAGCCTTCTAATATGAAAAGAACTATGCCTTTGCTTCCTAAGTAGTAGGTCCTTATGTTACAAGCAACTGCCTAAGGTATCTGGTTGTGGTGGTGCATTTGGGAGGCTGAAGCAGGAGAATCACTGGTTCAAAGCCAGTCTGGACACAGGAAGTTTTGGGCCAGCCTGACTGCAGAGTGAGACCTTGTTACAAAACAATAAAACAAAACAAAGCCTTTCTAGGGATAAGTGACATGGAAAGGAGCAGACCTTTATTGGTTTTTGTACCAGGAACTGAACTCAGGACCTTGTGCTTGCCAGGCATGTGTTGTGCTGCTGAGCTATATACCTGGCCCGACCTTTTTGTCCTACTTATTGTTACTATTTTTTAATATAACAGGCTTTCGGGTCACCTCCAGCAGCTCCCAGTTCAGCTCTCGGGACTCAGCACAATTCTCTGACTCTGGCTCTGCTGATGAGGTTGATGAATTTGAAATCCAAGGTAAGAAGTGGCCTTTTGTTCCAAAGAAGACTTCATTTCTGGTTTCTTTCCTTTTGGAATCATAGGTTGGGAGACTCCAGAATAGACAACCTTCACTGTGGCCCTTTGGGAAATGTTGATTACTATACAGGGCAACTTCTCTTGCTAAAGCCAACCCCTTTAAAATTCAGGTTCAAGGCTAGCCTGGGCTACACAAGATCCGGTTTCAAAAAAACAAAACAAATTAGGAGTAAGGGAAATAAAACCTAAGCAAAAGAGAACCGTGAAGCAAAGTGCTCGGGAGGCACAGCCCGCTGCTGAAGTCTCCTTGTGCTCCTTCCTCATCTTCTTTCTCTGGGTTCTCACCATATTCCTGCCTCATTGGGCTGAACCGTACCACATGAAATTAGAAACCTGCTCTCCGTGCTTCATTTGACACAACTGGGATCATTTCAAAGGGTTCAGAAGAAGCTTTACTGTAATCCTAAGAGGAAAGGACAAGAAGAGTCGTTGAGGGGAAAGCCAAAAAGAAAACTAAAAATCTGGCTTACAGAGCAGGCGGTAGGATCTGTTGCAGCCATGTGAACTTGCTCCGTGGAGTCCCTGACTCTTGGGGGAAGAATCGGCCAGCAGAGAGCAGGCAGTTGTTCTCATTCGGGTTATCATTCTGTTCCTGCAAGTCACTGATTTCGTTGATTTTCCATCAGTGAGACAAAGAGCAACCAGAGCTCTTCCCCAGAGGTCATTGTCCTCCCCAGCTGTCTGTGTCTGCAGTGCTCCCGGAGGACATTGTAAAGCATTGGGGAAGGGCTCTCCGAGTGCATATTAGAGAACTCCTGTGTCCGCAAGACCTCTCGATGAAGTAGCCGGCTTGCTTTCCCATCTAGAAATTCAGATTTTGACACACTTCCCAGGTCTCTGGGCAAGCTTCCTTCTGTGTTCTCCTCCATGTACCTGGTTTCTGTGCATGGTAAGGTGGTCATGTGAAGGTCCCTGTGTTCTTCCCATGTGGCTTGCCAGGAAGAGTTCCTGAATGCTGATACCATGTAGGTGAACTTGAGGCAGTTCTGACACTGACTACCGTGGGTGGGCACAGGTCCGTGGGTGCAGGGCTCAGCTTCCCTGCGTCACTCCTGCCTGCGTCAGGTGCCAACTCCACCCCCGCAGTTCTGGGCTTCTGACTGCAACTCCGTGCGTTCCCAGGAGCCCTTCCAGTCAGGCGTCTCTGGAGTGACTCTCAGTAGATAAAATACATGCGCGTGCGCACACACACACACACACACACACACACACACAGAGTTTATTACAAAGCAACTACAGATAACCATATGAAGCACCTAGGGCAGGCTCCTGCAGAGTCCCAGCCTCGGGATCTCCTTGTCTCCTTGGAGTCCAGGGACGACCCCTCCTCGTGTATCGGTATGGTTGTCTACCGGGATGCACTGCAGAGCTGGGTGCTCTGCCTTCTCCCTGCTGTTTAGGGCCCTGCAGAGTCACTGCGTTAGCTCGCCCTCAGGGCCATCAGAAGGGCCTCCTTGTGAATGAGGGAAAAATTAGGAAGCTTATTGTTACTTTCAAGTTTTGAATTTACAGAGCTAGCTCTGAGAAAACTTTCAGAAAACTTCTCATATATGCTTAGGATTTTCTGCTATAAAAGTTTGGACTTAGTAATCACTTTATGGTTCAAATAAGGCTATCTATAGGGTATTAACTGAAAGAAAGTAATAGTTTTCTATTACAATGGTTTTGAAGTATAAATACAAAAAATTCAGAACTGTCTCAAAGTAAAATTAAAAGGGCTAAGAATGTGTCTGCGTGGTAGAGATTTTATATAGCGTGCTTGAGGCCCTCAGTTCTATCCCCAGTACAAAAAAAAAAAAAAAAATAGATTTAAGCTGAGTGTGGTAGCACATGCCTACAATTCCAGAAGTTGAGGAAGGAGGTTCGCCTTGAATTTGAGGCCAGCCTGGGCTACTTAGTGAGTTCAGGGCCAGCCTAAACTATGTCGTGAGTTCATATCTAAAAAAAAAAAAAAAAAAAGATGTCAGTGAGGCATAATTTACATAACAAAATTTACCTGCTTCAAATGTACAATTCAGTGATTTTTAATAAATTTTCCAAGTTCTGCAGCTATCATTATAAATCAGTTTCTGAACATTTTTCTCATCTCAGAATCTCCCAGTGTAAATTATTGCTTCTTCCAGCTAATGCCTGTTTCTACCCCAGCCGCAGGCAACCACTTGTCTGCTTTGTGCCTCTCTGGATTTACCCTTTCTGGATATTCATATAGATGGAATCACACACTGTGTGATATGTTGTCTTTTGTGGCTGGCTTATTTTACTTTATATATTTCTGCTGCTGCTGTCTGCACAACTGGACTGATCCCATTTCTAAAATCCCAATGCAGGTAGTCTTTCACCTTCTTCAGTTTTAGGGTTTGCTCTTATTTTTTTTTTCCTACCCCCATGTCATCCTCTTATTATAGCCTTTTAAGTTCTTGTCTACTTCCTCTGCCAATTCTTCTAGAGTTTCCATCCTGCATATATGAACATGTCAGGGTCTGCTCAGTAGGCAGAGGTCACAGGAATTCCAACAGGGAAAGTTTAACATTGTGAACCGTTAACTGTAATGGGGGACTGAAGTAGTGGAGCAAAGAGAACCTGGAGGATTCAGGAAGGGCAGGCAGTAGTGGCGGCGGGAAAGGGGCATTTGTAAGCGAGGTGCTGCCAGGCAATGCTCTCCCCAGGGAGGTGGCCATGCCAACAGCCTCCATTGGACACCATCCTTGGGTGTGTGGAGCGATGCCTGGCTTTGGAGCAAGCAGCACTGGGAAGAGCAGCCCACAGACAAGGGAGTGGCTGCCTCCTGCGACCCCTGGAAAGCTGTATGGGGTGCTGAGAAAGCTGCCCTGACAGTCACTGCCTGGGGCACTCTCACGCAGAGCTGTCTAAGGCAACGTCCAGGAGTCAGTTGTGTGCCCCTCAGCAGGCGGCCTGGATAGCAGCCAGGACCTGTGGGGTCGCCGTTCCTCCTCAGAACCCTCTGGACCCCACTGACACCACTGACCTCTGCTGGCTGGTGGGGCAGAAAGAGCTGCAGAAACAGCTCCATAAGGGCCGAGAGAGCAGAAAGAAGGGGAGGCCTGGGGCAGAGGATGACCCATTGATAGCTGCAATACTGTAGAAAAAGGAATGTTCATAAATTGTATTTTTTTATAAATGATATTTTTCTGACTAGTTTTAAAATTATATCCCAGTTCAAGGTGATCAGTTGATCCTTCTACCCTTCTGACCAAAATTTTTTTATTCTTTAAAGAAATATGCAGATTTTGCTAAGAAATTTGTTGATTTTTGCAAAGAACTGGTTTAAAACAGTGTCTGGACACGTATCCCATTCTTCTTATAAACTTGTCATTGTTTTTGTTGTTTGTTTTTATATTTTCTGACATTTTTTCAGTCAGTAATAATAGCTTTCTGGGTTGGGAAGATAGCTTAGAGGGATGAGCACCTACCTGGCAAGCGCAAGGGTGTGGTGGTGCACACCTGTAATCCCAGCCCTCAGGAAGCTGAGACAAGAGGATTGCTGTGAGTTCAGGACCACCTGGGAGCTATAAAAAGTGAGCTCAAGAACAGCCCGAACTGCATAGCGACACCCTGTCTCAAAAAAAGAAAGAAAGAAAGAATAAATAAATACTAGCTTTATTCTATCTAAAAAATCCCAGGCACTTGAAGTCATTTTTTTTGGAGGAAAACAATTTGTTTTTGTACAAGATCCATAACAAGTTTCATAGGTTAAATTTCACTTGGAGAAGTTCCCTCAGTTTGTTTCACAGGTGTTATTATTTGGTTTTGAATGACTTTTTCTTTCCTCTTTACCTCTTCATTAGTGGTCTTAGAACATGTTCTACTTTTTTTTTTTTTTTTTTTTTTGAGACAGGGTCTGGCTCTGTAGTTCAGTCTGATCTCGAACTCATGTCCATCCTCTTGTTGTTTTAGTCTCCTGAATGTTGTGATTACAGGCATACGCACCACGCCTGGTAAGCCTGATATAGTTTTACCCACTAGTGTCCACTCAGATCACCCTGGTCCTCTGCTTGAACTGAATAGCACTGCCCCAGAAGGGCTTGAGGCATCTGACCAAGACACACTTCTGTCCCCTTCAGTAGCAGGTGCTGCTGAGGTAAGGTTCTTCCTCCACGGTGTAGTTCTCCAGTCTTGGAATATTTCTGGTTGGCTAAGAAATCCTGCCACTTTGTACCTTTGGTAAGAAAGAAGGGCCAGGGAGATAGGTCAGCGGCATAAGCACCTGCCTGGCAAGCACAAGGTCCTGAGGTTGATACCCAGTACCACAAAAAAAAAAAAAAAAAAAAGAGGAAGAAGCATGGTAAAATCCGACTTGATTATATGTTCTAAAGAAAAGAGAATGATTTGTTTCTCAAAAAAAAAAAAAGGGGGCTGGCCAAATAGCTCAGTGGATTAAAGTGCCTATGAGCAGCAGCCAGGGCTTCGATTCCCAGGCCTGCCGTGCTGGGTGTGGCTGAGACAGAAATTGAGACTGGGCATGGTGGCACACGCCTGTAATCCCAGCTCTTGGGAGGCTGTAAACAAGCAGATCACTCTGAGTCTGATCTAGTAGTAAGGCCCTGAATACCCTGTAGACCCTTCCCTAAAATACAAAAAAAAAAAAAAAAAGGAAAGAAAGAAAAGAAAAAGGACTTCCTTTGTAGTAGAATGAAGCATTGCTGAATGTCATCATGCTCTGAAATAAAT